GGAGCCGGGATGGGGGCTGGCCAGGTACGGAGCCTGAATCCTCCTGCCCTGACTCTTCTCTCTCTGCTATCTTTTCTCTCTCCTCCCCGACGGCCACCCCGAAGTCGAGCTTCGATCCCCACCACCGCTCGCAGCCGAGCTATGAACGGCCTTCCTACCTGCCTCCAGGACCTGGGCTTATGCTCCGGCAGAAATCTATTGGTATGTCACCCGCACCGTCACCGTCACCGGAAGCGTGGGTGTGAGGGATGCAGGTGGGGGAAGGGGCGGCTGTAAGGGTGACCATTCACGGCAGAAACAAGGGGCCTGGAAGTGTTCTCTTCCGCTTCCACATGTGACCACAGGTCCGTGGAGGTGGGCAAAGCGCTCCGGCTTTGCCGCTGGGCAGACCTGGGTTTGGATCCTGGCTCTTGTCCACCCCAGCTGTGTGGCCTGGGGCAGCTGGCTTCACTTCTCTGGGCCTAGGGCTCTGCAGCTAGAAAATGAGATGACTGCCCCCGCCACAGCCCCTGGTTCCTTCTCTCTCATACTTGACTCCAGTCATTCATTCATTCATTCATTCATTCAATCATTCCTTCTTCGTGTGCTTATTGAGCCCTACCACATGCCAGGTTAGACTGGGGGAGAGGGGGGGAGATGTCAGTGAAGAAAATAGACTAAAGGGCCCTGCCCTCCTGGAGCTTACATGATAGAAAGACAGACAACATACTAAAGGATAAGAAACAAGAAAATGATACCGTATGTTAAAGGTGCTAAGTGCTGTGGAAAAACAGAAAACGTAGAGTATGATCAGAGAGATCACAAGTGCTGGTGGGGGCAGGTTTTGGCTGAAACGTGGAGATGAAGCAGAGAGCCATGGAGGAATCCAGAGGGGAGGCCCTCCAGGCAGCAGACACAGCCAGTGCAAAGGCCCTGGGGTAGGACTGAGCTGCCTTTGCTGAGATGGGGGCGACCAGGGGCAGGAGGAGGCCAGGAGCTCAGTTAGGGGCCTGCTGGGTTCGAGATGCCAGTGAGACCCGAAGCGGATGCGGCATTCCGGTCTAGGAGCAGGGAGCTCGAGGGAGAGCATTGGGCCCGGGACAGAGGTGGGAGTCCCCGGCAGAGAAGTAATGAATGAAGCGGGGACACTGGTCAAGGGAGAGAGAGCAGCCAGAGGCTTGGAGGAGCGGATCAAAGACAGCCCTGGCCATGGATAAGTCGGCCAAGGACTTCGCTCCTCCACTCCTCGCTGAGTCGGCTGGCTAACTGGAGCCAGCTTTTCCTGAACGTCCAGTGTCCACAGTCAACCAGCGTGTGCCTCTCATCTGTGAGACCTGCCTCCATCTCATCATTTACCTAACGCCACCCCAAATCTACATAGCTTCGCATCCCTACCCAAAACCTCCTTTATTTTATTTATTTATTTATTCATTCATTCATGTATGTATCTTATGTTTGTCATATCGCTTGTCAATTCCTACAATTTTCATTTTTGCCCACATGCTGTCATGTGTGCGCAATTTGAGGTCTTTGATGGCCGAGACACCATTGTTTTTTCATCTTTGTATTTTTTTTAAATTAAATCTTTATTGTTGAAAGTATTACATATGTCTCCCTTTCCCCCCCCCCATTGACCCCTTCTAGCCCCCCTTCCACCCCCCACCCCCACCCCAGGCCTTCCCCACCCTCTTGTCTGTGTCCATGGGTTATGCATATATGCATTCAAGGTCTTTGGTTGATCTCTTCCCACCCACTCACCCACCCACCCCCGCCTTCCCTCTAGGGACCACATCAGGTCCCTCTTAAACAGTAGCTTCATCATGAGCGGTTCTGTCTGTGAGATCCCAGGTTTGATGTGCCAGCTGCGTCTCTTTCCTGCCTTTGCAGGAAAAGAAATCTATACCTAATGCACATAAACGTGGTATCTCTCCCTGGCTCAAGCCACCGCCACCAGCCTATAACTGTGCGGGTGTGTGAATTAGAGACGGCGCCCCCTCCTGGCCGGGGGTGGAAGTTCAGCTGGGTCTCACCCCAGCCCCCTTGGCTCCCTTCGCTGTTTGCGGTTGGGCCGCGCACAAGCTGTGTTACTGTCTGTGTCCAGCTGGTTCGGATGTACCGTGGCTGGCGCAGCTCTGGACTAATCCGTGGGAAGGTCTTACATGCATGGGCGCCATGATCGTCATCATCATCAACAACAACAACAGCATCGTTACTATTATCACTGTCCCGATGATGTGGCTCCGCGGAATGGGGGAACAGGGGGCCCCCACCAAGGGCGGCACGGGGGCCCCCCCCCCGCCCCATCCCCGCCTCCTCTGTGTCTTCCCAGGGGCCGCCGAAGACGACCGGCCTTACCTAGCGCCCCCGAGCATGAAGTTCAGCCGCAGCCTGTTCGTGCCTGGTTCGGAGG